TGTGGTACTATGTTGGGGATCAAACCCAGTCCTATTTATGCATTCATTCACTTAGTCATTCATTTACTAGGGTTTGAACCCAAGGCCTTGCACTTGTTGAGCTGGTGTACTACTTCTGGACTGTGAGTCCAGCTCTGATTCTCACTGATTATTTTTAGGATAGGATCTTGCTCGGCACTGGGCCCATTCCTGGACTTTGATACACTTACTTCAGCTTTCTCACTATCACTGGGGTGACGGATGCAAGCCACTGTGGTAAGCTTGCATCCATGTTGTTGGGGTCTCATGGATTTCTCTGTCTAGACAAGCCTAGAACTGGAATCCTCCCTAGGTCAGTCTCCCAAGTAGATCAGGTTATAAGCACACACTACTCAGCCTGTGGTGAGGGGTGTCAAGACTTTGTCTTGTTGCCAAGTATATGTAATATTGTCCCACTATCACATGGGAGGGGAAAAGCGCAGTTTAGATGTGTTGGGTGGGTTGCAGAAAGTCAAAGTGGGATGGAGAGCTTCATGTGACCACATACCTTCCATGATCATTCCTGTCAAGTATGAGCTTAAGAGGGGATATGGAAAGGCTTTGTTCCTGTGAGCGGTAATAGACTAGATAGTAATAGGTAGAAGTGTCAGAAAGCCTCTCCAGTGTCAAAACATCTGTCTACACATGGTGAATATCTTAAATTGAAAGGTATGGTAGAATTTAGTGTGTAGCCACTATTATACTTGCATATTAATATCCCACTGAAGCTTTAAACCCTGTAGGAGGCTGTCACTTGGAGAGAGACTAGATGAGAGTGGGTGAGTGTATATGTGGTCTTAGTTTGCTCATGTCATTTTTAAGAATGTCTGGGAGAATCTGGGAGATTATGCACACATTGATTGTGAACTGTTCTCTTAAGAAACTATCCCCCAAATGAGTAGATTAATATAGCAGCTCTTTTGTGTGTTTGCAATGCCGTGGGTAAAAAATTGGATGTGGTTTTCCAGGCAGTCATCTGGTGGCTGGAATGTGGCCCACCAGTCTGAAATGGGTCACACACATGGCTGCCAGCTGGGATTGGCTGCCCGGTGTGTAACAAGTCTCTTATACACCCTCTCAGGCTTCTTTACATGGTTGAGTAACTTTGAAAACCAGCCCAGTGAAAGGGGAAAGCCAATGGGCGAGGATTATTAAAGACTTCAATCACTTTACTAGTAGTCCATTGGCCACATCAAGACATAGAGTCCAGCCTCATCATAATCAGAAATAGCCACACAGGGACACGGATGTAAGGACTTGTGCTGTATTACTGTCACAGTCTACCATAGGTAGACTTGACCATCAGTCAGTTCAGCTGCAGACATTGAGATTCTGCAGAGATCTTCTTGGAAATTTTGTCATATGGGATTAAAGTCATACAGTATTACAGAACCCTCAACTCCCAAATGTCTTTGAGTTTTTTTCAAATTTAGAGAAAGAAAATCTTCTCAGATGTTTATAGATCAGTTCTCTACTAGGGAAGGGACACACACACACACACACACACACACACACACACACACACACACACACACACACACACACACACACACAGAGTCAGATTGCTGGTGTAACTTTTATATTGTTTCTAAATCAGCACCATGGAGAATTAATCCTTCCTGAAGGGCTCCAGTGAATAGAGGTTAACTAGGGTAGAGATCTATATCCACATTTAATAAAAATAGAGTGGAATTATGCAAGTATGTAGATAAGCTAATCATCTGACCTAATCAGCAATGCAAATTTTTATAAAAAGCTTTTCTAATTACTTCCTCAGCTTGGCTGAAGGTATGGGTAAAATGAATTTCCCAGCATGGTAGCAGATGTATTTCATAATATTTATTGAAAATATTGGAAAGAAATCCTCAATTATCATGCTCCTAAAAAGTACATCAAAAAAGATATCTTATTTAACATACTGTTCACTTTCATGTAGCTGTAAACATAACATAATTTAGATGATCCTGTAACAACTCTCACACAAGTCATTTGGAATGTTTCATACACTTAGAATTGAACTTTCAGGGCCAGATTGCTTCTTGGTTAGATGCCTGTATTTTCCTTGAATTGTGTCATTTACATTTGCAAGCTCCAGTTGTCTAGGACAACATTAAACCACTAGGATAAGACTATCCTTTGATTATTCTCTAATTTGATACCTGCCTAAAGGTGTCTTAACAAAGGAAGTTTCATCAACTTAAATATTATGTTGCTGACACTTACAGGCACATGTAACAACGCCATATGAGATTTGGAAGTCTAGATAGATTGTGAATTCTTTTTCTTGGCTGATTTTGAATAGTTATAAATGGCTGTTAAATCATTTTAGAGCAAAATTGTCCAGGAAGAAACTATGAATTCCTGGCTGAAATGCCTGTATCTTCCTTTAGTTTTGTGCTGCTTATTTATTTGCACCTTCCATTTTGGGATTTGCTCAGTATCTTTCTGGTATGCATGAGTGTTCATGCATTACATAACCATGTCTTAGTCAATAACAGACTACTCCTACATTGGTGGTCCCACAAGATTGTGCCATGTAGATGGCCTTTTTCACCATTTTCGTTTATGTAAGCAGACTCTAATATTATAATCAAAAGTGTATAAAATTATTTAACAACACATTTGACAAAATTTATCCATGTCCTCAATTGACAACACGACCATAGATTCCTCTTAATATAGGTTATTGCGCCAATTTCTATTGCCTATAAGCAAAACAACTCCTTTGGTGCTGTTAGACTGTCTGAATAGTTCGGTTCTGTGTTTTATCAGTTTGTAGTGGGGCTGGTTTGCTACTCAGAATTTTTCCCAATATCCCTCTTCTGAGACAAAGGGAAAATCAACCATCGTTTGGAACCACAAAAACAAACCTACAAAGAAAGCATTCAGAAGCTCTTACTGAAAGTTACTTCATCATTGCTAGTATTTGAGGAGGTAAATACTATATTTGAGGAAATTATAAATGTAGAATTCACATAACAGTGAAATTCTCATTAGAGTACAAGGCCATAAAACATGGGTGATCCATCAACATGTGACTAAACTTAGTTATATTGAAGCTAGGACATAGTTATGTAACTATACATAATAATAAGGCATAATATCTCTATATGTCCAAATTCTTCTATCACTAGGTCAGTTTTTACTATTGAAATTTTTTAAATGGTCAATTCTTTGTTGTGAGTGACTGACCTGAGTCTTGTAGAATGTCCTTGACTGCTTTTCTGGAAGATGACAGTAGCACGCACCTTCTTCCAAGCTTTGACAATCAAAAGTATCTCTAGCCTGATACTGGTGTCTGGTGACTGTAATCCTACCTATTCAGGAGGCTGAGATCTGAGGATTGCAGTTGGAAGCCATACTGGGTAGGAAAGCTCATGAGACTCTTAGCTCCAATTAACCACCAGAAAAACTGCAAGTGGCACTTTGCTCAAGTGGTAGAGTGCTTGCCTTGAGCTGAAGAGCTCAGGGACAATGCCCAAGCCCTGAGTTCAAGTCCTAGGACTGGCAAAAAAAAGTGTCTCAACATGCTGCCAGAATCTTAGAGTAAGGAGCATATTTGTCTTTATTTGGAGGCATCTACTTTACATTACTATAATTAATTCAGCCAACATTTTCCAAGCATTTGTATTGCACAAAATACGTTTTCTTTGATTTGTAAGTATTTACAGGCAGAATGTATACCAAATACACGTCTACCAAGTACTAGCTTCAATAAATGCCATTCCCTTGCTAACCAGCTCATTTTAGATATTTATAGAAAGTTTCTAGGTGTAGTTTTCCTAGTCATATTTTTATTGTGGGTAGCCATAGAAAATTGGTACAGGTAGATTAAAAAAAAATGTGTTGGGGGATTTCCATTTGGTCCTAGCTAAATGTGTAGTAACAACAACAAAATGATTTGAGTAAAGGTCCCTTTTTCACAAATGTACCCAAATGTCATGATTTTAAATGCATTTGTACCCCAATGTCATTATTGCCATGTTTCAAACTGTATTGTGATTTTCTTTGTAAGGAGTGGGAGTTGAGAAAGCTTCCATTGGCACCTTTGTGGAACAGGAGTTGGGGTTGAATGTGAGTGGGTTGGAGCCATATATTTTAACAATGCAGCTGCGTAGCCGCTTAGTTCTTTTCGTTGAGCAGAGGTGCTTGTTTTGTGCCAGAGACGAAGACATGGAAATTCTCCTCAGTGGTTGCAAAAGCTGTTCATGGAGAAATGGAAGCAGAAAGAAGTATAATTTAAGGAAACTCTGTGTTCACATAGTGCATGTTGACAGAGTCTCCTTGAAAGGTTATATGATTCTGACTCATGAGGTCGGAACACAGACTCCTTACCTTGGCAACTTCACTGATGGAAGAAAACCTTATCTGGAAATGCCTTTTTTGAAAAAAAATGAAATGAGAATGGAGATGAAGTGCCTTTTCTAGCATATATGAACAGAATGTAAATTACTGTCACCTCTGCTGTTTCTTGTACACTCACATCTCCATGTCCAGGTGAGGATCAGAAGAGACAGTTAGTGAAATATGAAAAATACCTAAGCCATTTCAACCTTGTTCTTCTTTAAACTCACTGTGAGAACATTACATAAGCAAACCTCCTCTACTTTGTTCTCTCGATCATCCAGAGAAAGTGCTTAATCAACTGGGACATGGCCAGGATCTGCCAACAGAAGCCAACAGGCAAAAGCCAAAGGGTAGGCTAGCAGGCAGCTTATGGCTGCATAACCAGCTTTTGACCCCTCCCCTCCCCAGCAGTGATAATATTGTAGATTTTATAGCTTCTGTTCTGAATTGTACCTGCAACTCTTGGGAGTGCTCAGTATGCAACATAAATAATGTTCGCTAATTCTAGACTAATGACTACAGAATTTCTTTTGCCAGACAGGCTCAGAAGAGATAATAATCCATGCTTGATGCTGGTCCAGGACAAAGTTTACACGCTAATTTTAATTCATTATATATGCCTTTTTTTCCCCCAGCACAAATGGAGCCCCGAGGCCTATCTCCCAGACAAAGTAAAAGTGACAGTGACGATGATGACCTGCCAAATGTGACCTTAGATAGCGTTAATGAAACTGGATCAACGGCCCTTTCCATAGCCAGAGCAGTACAAGAGTAAGTATCACGTTTTCAGGATGAAATAAGAATTGCCAAGGTGATCAATGGATAATGGAAACTGCTGCAGCTCCAGTTCCTACATCTGTCATTCTGGCTCTCGACTGGCCTATGACTCAGCTTTCCATTCAGCCTCTGTTCTTTGGGGAAGCAGATGAGTGCGAAGAATGGGGAATGTTACAGAATTGAAAGTCTGTGTTCTGTTTAAATATAAAACCTCTACGCATCTCTTCATCTTTCGTGATTCTAAAAATGAGTGTTTTTTTAAATGCCACTTACTGATTATCATTATTATTCATATACAAAGTTAAGGAAAATAAAATCCATCAAGTATCCTTATCTTGATTGGCAATTAACAAAGTAGCATTCTGGTACTTCAGATTTGAAAGATAATCTAATAATCCTTTGAAAAATAGGAATTGTATATATTTTGTGCCAGCACTGGGCACTCAGGACCTGGGCACTGAGCTCCTTAGCTTTTTCACACAAGCCTGATGTTCTACCACTTGAGATACAGTACCACTTCTGGGTTTTGTTTGTTTGTTTTGGTTTTTTTGGGGTCCGGTCATGGGGCCTGAACTCTGGGCCTGGGTGCTGTCCCTAAGCTCTTCAGCTCAAGGCTAGTACTCTACCACTTGAGCCACAGCACCACTTCTGGCTTTTTCTGCTTATGTGGTGCTGAGGAATCGAACCCAGGGCCTCATGCATGCAAGGCAAGCGCTCTACCACTGAGCCACCTTCCCAGCCCTCACTTCTGGGTTTTGGATAGTTAGCTGATTTGATATGAAGTAGATATGGTGAAATGACTAATGAAGTTAATTAACACACTCCATCACCTTTTATAATTACCTTTATTTTTATGAGAATACCTAAAAGCTACTTAGCAGATTTCAAATATACCATACAGCGTTATTCACTGTAATCCTCATGATATATATTAGATCTTCAGAGCTTGTGAGAGTGTGCATGCGTGTGTGTGTGTGCGTGCGTGCGTGCGTGCGTGTGTGTGTGTGTGTGTGTGTGTGTGTGTGTGTGTGTGCTGGTCTTAGGGGTTTGAATCATGGCCCATGCGCTCTCCCTGAGCTTTTGTGCTCACCACCAGCATTCTACCTCTTGAATCACAGCTTCATTTCTAGCTTCTTTGCTGGTTAAATAAAGATAATTTGCAGACTTTCTTGCCCAGTCTGGTTTCGAACCATGATCCTCACTCAGATCTCTAGGATTACAGGTTTGAGCCACCAGTGCCTGGCTAGAATTACTCTTTTCTCACCTGCAAATTTGTATTCTTTGAGCAACATTTCAGTTATTTTACCCCTTTTCTTCACTCCCCTCCCCGCCCCCCCCCCGAATCCACCATTCTACTGTGTTTCTGTGGATTCAGCTTTCATAGAAATAGAAATAGAAAATGGATGATAGATAGCCATTCCACATGTAAGTGTAGTTCTCTGATTGGTTTTGTGTACATATTTTCATTTTACAATATTTCCTTTGGTACTACTGCAGAAGTTATATGTATATATTAGGAGATGCCATATTCTTTATTCATGTCTGTTTTTTTTGAAAGGATCAGTAAGGAATATACTTCCACCTTGGAAGTAGTTCTAGAATACCAATATCAGACCTACCAGTAGTTAATAAACTCAAGTCTAAGAAGTCCTGGCACATTGTTAGATAAAGCAAGGAGATTTTCTGCAGAAAATCAAGACTTCGACTACTGTATGGAAAATAATTTATTCTTGCCTGTATTTTGTATTGTTATATTTTAACATTCTAAATTTGCTCAAAGTTAATTTTCAGTGTTCACAATTGTGAACTTCATTGTTTTCTTTTTTCTCTCTAGTTCTTCAGTGCATGTTTTGGTTTCACTACTTCTCTTTCTGCTTGCCTTTTTTTTTCTTTTATTGTTAAGATGCTGTACAGAGGGGTTACAGTTACATGAGTAAGGCAATGAGTACATTATTTGTGGATCATTGTTACCCCTTCCCTTTCTTGTCCGACTATCCCTTCCCTTCCCACCTCCCACACTCCTGCCCTCCCCCTCGCTGTCTGTGCTGCCCAAAGTTGTAAAGTCCACTTCCAGTATATTGCCCTGTGGGTATCCTTGTTGCAACCGGTCATCCTGTGTCCTTGAATCTCCATTCTGTTAATTCCAAATGTGAAAAAAAAAAAACCTAACCTAACTTGAACCTCTAGCATATTCTTATCAGTAAATTACTATATTTATGTAAAAAAGAATAAAACATAAGCTAAGGATGTAATAGTGAGAGGATTTGAAATGTTAATTGTCTGTGTCTCCATGTATAGAACTTCCGTGAGAAGTATGTCTTACGTAGAAAGACAACATAACAATGTAAATTTTCTGTGCGATGGAGATACCAAGTTTTAAAAACCTTGGTCAGAATAAATTCATATTTTCTTTAAAGACTGAAGAAATCATTTAGGCCACAAGTACATAGCCAAGGATGAGAGGGGGAAACTAGGTAGGGATGAGGATATTGAGGAGGACTGAGAATAGAGAGGGCAAAAGTCTTTGTGCTCAGGTCTCTGGCTCTCTGACTAGATGTTATAGCCCTGGGTCAGTATCTACTGCTCCTGGATTTACCCCCTTCCCCACTCACTTCCCCACTCCCCAGTTCCCTCAAGCCTAGAAAGTATACTAAATCTTTGATTTAGTCCCTTATTTTATGGATACTAGTATATATCACAAAATCCTCAACATGCCCGTAATTTTTTCCTATCCAGTATTAGCCATTTTACTATTGGTTTCACTGTTTCTTTTCTTATTATCTTGGAATGGTTTTCAATTGAAGCTGTCACTTTATGAGTACAGGGCACCTGGATCAATGTTACTTCTTCTATCATTCTCCCCCATCTGCCCCAGCCTTACTCTTCTCCTATTTTTAGATGCATTTAAGATGAACTTTTATGAAAACATGGGTTACATATTTATTTCCCTTGGTTTGATGTGAAGAAGTTATTCATCAAAATACATTTCCATCTTAGATACTCAAATATGTCTATCTTTAAGTATAAGAAAGCATTGCTTGGTACCTGAGGCCACCTCAGTTTATATACATTCATGTAATGAGGATGGCTGATTAGTTGAGCAATTTTCATTGACTAACTTCATCCCATGTATCAGCTCAGTCAGTGACTTCTGATAAATTGAAAACAACATCCACAGTGAAACCCAAAAAGGCCTCTCCCTTGTGTGATTTCAATTTTATAGATACCATCCATACCAGAAATCCTGTATTTAGTAGTTTGAACACATCACATCCCTGAAATTCATTCAACATCTTTTTTTCTTGGTCTTATTTTTCCTCAGTGGTACAACAGGTCATTACCCATAACAGCTTGACAAACATAATTATGAACTAAGTGCTTAGAGATATAGAGGTAAAGGCACATGATTGAAACAAATTATTGTAATTAACTGTAAACCTAGACAGAATAATGATATTTTTTAAATAGGTAAGGTTCAGCTTTGATACCCAGAACCTCTGATTTTTGTACCCTTGGGGTTTTTTTCTTCCTTTAATCCCAAACATTAGTAATATTTACTGTTTTGTTTTGTTTTGTGTTGTTGTTGTTTTGTTTATCGTGCCAGTTCTGGGCCTTGAACTCAGGGCCATGGCACTCTCCCTGAGCTTTTTAGTTCAAGGCTAGCAGTTTACCACTTTGTCACAGTTCCACTTCCAGCTTTTTCAGTATTTATTGGAGATAAGAGTCTCACAGACTTTCCTGCCCGGGCTGGCTTTGAACCACAATCTTCAGATCTCAGGTAGGATTATAGATATGAGCCACTTATCCTTACTTTTAATGCAAGCAGAATAGTCAAGTCCCATTAAGCTAAAGTATAAATGAAAAGTATCTGAAAGAGGACCCTCCCCAAAGGGATTTCTGTCTTAACCAAGGTCAATCAGGAAGAATAAGGAGTTAGATGGAATAATTTTATTAAGTGACATGTAGGAGGGTGGAAAATTCATAAAGCAGGTACAGAAACTAGAATGTTGTGTCCAGGATTAATTCTTCCATCATTGAACACATTCCTGTCCAAATTACTATGTATCTGACTGACCTGCTATAATAACTCTATAAAAACAAAATTCTAAGTTAGTAGCATTAGAAACTTTTGCTTTGTCTGGCATCCATAGTGTCTGCATCTGTTAAAATGACTTTCTTCTTAAATGGCTGATTGGCAGTCACATTTAAGCTATTTAACACAATTCAGTGTCTTCCTTCTCTCGGGTTTTATTATGTGGCTAATGTGAAGTGCCCTTCTTTTTTTTTGGCGGGGGGGGGGGGGGGTTCCAGTTGTGGGGCCTGAACTCTGAGCTTGGGTGTGGTCCCTCAGCTCTTTAGCTCAAGGTTAGCGCTCTACCACTTGAGCCACAGTGCCACTTCTGGCTTTTTTCTTTTTGCTTATATGGTGCTGAGGAATTGAACCCAGGGCCTCATGCATGCAAGGCAAGTGCTCTACCACTGAACCACCTTCCCAGCCCCTGAAGTGCCCTTCTTTATGATAAAAAAAAAACTCATGGGCTCCTAGAAATGAATAAATAGCCTAGGTAGATTTTTCTTTTTCATTAAATGCTTTGTAGAAACAGACATGGTGGATAGTTAAGAGATGCTTTTTACTGCTCCAAGACTTCCCATGTAGCTAATTCAAACAGCATGATTCTGTACTTGGAACAGTGTTTTAATGATCCAAGAAAGTCAGAAATCTTAGCTGTTGGTTGTTTTGTTGGTTTTTTTATTTTTCATCTTTCTTACTGTAAATTTGTTGAGTAGTTCTTACCCCTTGTGCTTTTACTTAATCCCCTTATGATGATTGTGTTAATGTCTTTTAAATTACAGCAAAGAACAGTGGTAGAGAGCATGAAGGAAGGAAAACAAAAGACATTACTAAGAGCCTGTTTTTGGTAGATTATATGAAACTCATAGTTTCCATTTAATTTACATCAGGATACTATTTTCATTTTGCAGATTACAAAACA